CATGAGATTTTACTGCTTCGTGTCGTCTCCTCTTTACCCCTTCTTCCTCTATTTTGACAGTATATAAATTGATGATAACTTGAACTAAGGCCAATTGTAATGCTTATATATTGGATGCGTTGATTTTATAGTGTTTTCTCCACTACGAACCGTTGAAACATTGAAGTAAGTTATTTTCACTGCTTCTTTTATTATGATTGTGCTTTCAGGTATTTTTCAGCAGTTCATGAGAACCTGTGAAACAGAATGCTGAGATTATATTTTGTACTGCCAATCTGATCTTTCTTTCTCTACAGAAAAATATCCTTTTCATATCAATGAAAACAAACCCTGGTAGCTGTCAAATTACATATTTCTGTGTGTTATGATGATTATACTTGACAGTGAGTGAGTGATTTAGCCCTTTCCAGAAGTGCTTACCTGACTGAGTGTCACTCACTATTACCTCTTCAGCAGATACATTAATCACTGCGATTGGTTTTACTTTGAAAAATAATCCTGCAACATGGGAAAACTCACGAGGAGAAATATGTGTAGTGGAATATTTGTTTGGAAAATCCCTCCTCAGCGACTTACTCAGAATACGATGTGTACTTATTTCAGTTTTTCAACTGACACTGCAGTGATTGTCCCTTTCACGTCTAGAAGGTATATCATTGTCCTAACATTTGCATATCATATGCTCACTTGATCCTTATTAGAGTTTTTCTTTGCCCCTCCCTGTTAAATCTCTCATTCTAATCCTTGTCTTTGTGTTTTGTTTAACGAGGTGATTTTGTTTGAGCTATTCAATACCACATTCTGACCCTCGACTGTATTCGGTAACTCTTGGTGTGTGATTCACTCATTCAGATATTTTGATCCCATCTTGTTGGGAAAATTCCACAAAAAGGAAACTTTGAATAGAACCACATAGATATTGCTCTCTTTTCATGTCCTGGGATCAAACAGTCACCCAGAACGCCCTCATATTCAATGATTCTCTAAATCATATCATTCCGTGATCAAACTTGAGATAAACCAATTCCCAAAAAACCTTGAAAATAAAATTATTCACCATAGAAAATTAAGCAGCATCACATGATATTTCCGAAAAACAGAAAAATGTCTTTGTCATTACTATTGCCTGAAGATTTCCAATGATTAAACATAAAGAGACAATGAAATTTCCCAACAGTATTTTCACTATAACAAACAAAGTAATTTTTCTCGATGACCATGGAGAAAAAACAGGCAGTAACTTTGAACTACTCAGCATTTGACAAGTAGTATGTTTTGTTTATAACAAAATAATTTCGCCTGAACTTTTATTTGAGGCATTTGACAGCTAGGCAAAACCCTCAACTGCTATAAAGTCTTCATTAGATTACACAGAAGAGGAGACGTTCAGAGGAGAGTTACCCCTTTTAACCATGCTTTTCCGAGCTATGGAGCTGCACACAGTGTGAATTAGTACATTTTCATAGCGACGAAATTCAATGTCTCCTTAGATTCCTAATTCAAGTTGTAAGATTCCGATAAACATCGTTCAGTAAAGAATGGGAACAGAAACTAAAACGATTAAATCAGCCAATAAGTAAGACTAAAATAGTTTAACTGGAAGAGATTCGGGGTGGAAGCTGCGCGCAAAGTTGATACTCACAGTCTGACAAAATTCCTTTAGCAAATTTGTTGCATGAAATCAAGTGCCCTTCAACAACGATGTCAACGATATGGCCCAACGGGATACCACTCGCCCTACTGACAGTCTTCAAAATTCTACGAAGTATGACATAGTCTTTTTTAAGCAACCGAGGAAAGAATAAGGGTGAACAGCAAAGAAGAATAGGTAAAATGATCGAGTTGACAAACTATAAGAGGATGGGTTGGTTGAATTATGGCCGAGCGCATTGACTTCCTAATGTAAAACGTCAGATAGAATATTTTCCTAGAAATCGCTAAGACATAGGAAGACCAGGATTGGTCAGAAGAAAGAATTGTTCCAAGATAGTCAACGTCAGACTTGATTTCTATATCACTATCATTTATTTTGCAACGGTCATAGGAATGATGAACGGCTTCATTTAACTTTCTTTCACATCGGAAACTGAAATTAACAGTCCGACATTTTAAAGAATTTATTTTAAGACCATTAGATGACGGCTGACTTCTGGTAGAAAGCTGTTCATCTTAGTACAGTCTAACTGGGAGTTAACAGACATTGAAGCAGTTAGGCCACCAGCATACTTAACAAAGTCCACTTCGTCAGAGTGAATCAAGTCGTTCAAGAAGAAAGAAAACAGAAAATCAGAATAAACAGCGCCTCAGTAAGCAATGAAGTGGACGACTTCCCCTGACATACATTGTACTGCTTTTTTCCTGAGAAATAAGAATGCAGCTATTTGACAACCCATCTACTGTGTCACTACCGCTCAACTCATGATTTCCCATTAGGGTTCTGCTCGAACACTGACCTGGCGCGAGATGTCATTCAACGGTTTCCCAAACCTGTAACCAGCCTGTCTCCATTGGCTTCGGCATATTTGTTGAGTAATAGGTCCCTGGTTGGTTCGTTCACTTGTCATTTCTGGTCATCGCATTTTCAGTATCAAGTCCGTGATGGCAGTTGTTTTAATGAAAGTCTTGGTCTTGATCTTCCAATCCATATTGGCTTTGACATCCTCATCCATATTTGCAAATGTGTTAGTTTGCAGGGATTTGACTGACTACTGGAAGATATAGACAATCGGGAATTCACACAAAGTATGATTATTTGGGGATGTATATCCATTTTGTGTTTATTAATCAGGATTCGCCATGCATCAGCCAACACCACACCTTCACGTCCGTTCAAACTGTCTTACTATCTAGAATTTTATGATTAGATGTATTTTCAAATAATAAATAAATAACAATTATCTTGTTAGTTCTGTAGCTATGTTTCAGGGCATTTTTCTTTTTGTTTAAAAAGTTGTACTACTTACCACTAGTCAGTAGTAAGAATAGTAGTATGAAATATAATTGTTACTTCACAACCATCATTTTGTTTACTATATTGAAATTTAACAAACAATTTGATATAATGTAATTCATTGCTTATAGATGAATATTTACTATATGCTGTATATACCCTATTTATTTACTCTTTTTGCTGTTGAACATTGTTGATTATTATTATTATTGCTCCCTTGGGTTCCTAGTGGAACATAGGGCTTCAACTGCACGCCTCCACTTGTTTCTGGCTTCTGCTGTATTTTTCACCTGCATCCATGTGAGTCCATACTGTTTCGACTCCTCCTCTTCACACGATCTCCTCCATATCACCCTTGGACGTCCCACTCGCTGAATCCCTTTCGGGTTCCACTCGAGGGCTTGACGTGCGATGTCACCCAGCGGCCTCCTCCTTAGCGAGTGTCCAATCCATCTCCACTTCTTTCTCTTGCATATTTGTTGGGCGATTGGTTCTTGTTTTGTTTGTTCCCATAGTTTCTTATTGGTGATTCTTTCCGGCCGGCCATCTGGTCTTCAGTTTAGAGCAAAGACAGTTGTTGATAATGGTCTGCAACAGGCTGTTGGAAATATTCTTTGTGACCCTCCAAGTTTCTGATCCCTGATAGAAGAACTGATTTGACGTTTGTATTGAAAATCCGAATTTTGGTTGTTGATGCTGAGTGACGAAGATTTCCAGATTAGTTTCAGGTTGATGAATGTGTTTCTCGCCTTCCCGATTCTCCATTTGACATCCTCGTCCGTTCCTCCTGTAGTTGATTGAGACAATGCTCCCTAGATAAGTGAAAGAAGTAACCTCTTTCAAATCCCTTCCGTTCATGGTGATCGGCAATGGATGTTGCTGCTGCTGTTGTTGTTGTTGGTTGGTTATTTTCATGACCTCCGTCTTGTCTATGTTCACTTGGAGTCCTGTCTTTGCTGCTTCGTCGACCAGTTTGTCGGTTTTCGCTTGTAAGTCTTCGATTTTGTGTGACATCAAACATAAATCATCCACGCCAAATCTAGGTCTTCTAGGTTCTTCACGTCGGTCCAGGATATCCCTGTCTTCTCGTTTCCCAATGTCTGACGCATAATCCAGTCCACTACAATTAGTAATATCATTGGTGATAATAAGCACCCTTGTCTAACTCCTGTGTTTACTCCAAACGCCTCGCTGAATTTTCCGTTGTGGATCACGTGTTCAACGGTTTGAGGAAGAACATTGTTGATTCGTGCACGTTTATTCTCTGATTAGCATTCGCGTGCCGTTCAAATCTATACGCGTGGATCGCCTTTGACGCAGCTTTGCTGTTTTCCTAATTAATGCACTCAAAGTGAATGTACTTTTGACTGCATTCAGGCACAGACACCTCATAATTTGAGGTTTCGATATTCAATTATTTTAAATTTTATGCATAATACAGTACCGCATTCAAGACAAACCCTGTGTATGGTTTTGGATTTTACGCGTCACTCTACGTGTGGTTTAGTTCATCGTTCGACTTATCTCTGCTTAGATTTCTTAGAAAAGAATTCACAAACATCATGGAGACTATCAGTGGAATTCAAGTGGTGTACTTCGTCCCACTGTGGACTCGTCTACTGTATGCCTAAATCATTGTGATAGCATGAAGTGTACTGAGCTGAAGCCAAAGTGACGGCAGCGTGAAGGCTTCCCATCATATAGGCTAGAATTATAACTAATCCGACCCCTGGATAACGACAAAACAATCTGTAATTTCAAAATTATTTAAATATATAAATAAATGTATTATTGAAATCACTTCTCATCTGTGCTCTCTGCACAGCTTTAAAGCACAACTATGCAGAACAGAAAATCGACTTCGAAATAAGGAGGGAAAATGAAATCTCATTCAGTAAAATTGAAAATTAAAAACTACTATGCACAATTCGGCATAGTTTTGCTTTAGGTATATATGCAACAGAATTTCATTCACACACCATTACTATTTTTTTCTCTGATACACGTCATGAATTCACACGGAATTCTTTGACGGCATGCTGGTGTCACACTATCTACGATAGTATTCATCTTCTGTCAAGGGGATCGCCTTCTCCATTCCGCGTAGTTTACGCTCGAATTCAGCTAACTGTTCATTTAAACACCAGCTGGGTTGCATAGGAACACAGATTTTTCGGATATGCATCCAAGCATCCTGGTTAGGAAGAAAGAAAGAAATAAGAAGTTTATTTTGATTTTTTCAGAAAACAAACACTATCTTATTCAAGTATTGGTTTATAGGGATTTGGTTGATTGGTTACAGGATTTCATGATGAGCTGACATTAGTTAGAGAACCCTTGGAAAACCTGCAGGGAGTACTGGACAGCCATTTCGTCCTGGTTTGGGACTCTCCATCAGTACGCACCCACTGGGGTTCGAACCCAGGACCTTCTGGTTACAAGGCGAGCTCGAAGCCCGGTGGGTGCGTACTGTGAAGAGTCCCAAACTAGGACGAAACAGCTGTCCAGTACTCTCTGCAGGTTTTACAATGGTCCCCTAACCAATGGCAGCTTATGATGAAATCCTGTAACTAAACACTATCTCAATTTATTTTAACGAATAATGAGTCAATGCGCAAAACAAGAAAGTACATTTTATTCACTTTGAACCTTCGCGTTGATTGATTGATTCGACTTCAGGTTGATATGTCGCCTCCTTGTGCGAATACATCGACGATGTCTGAATATCTAACTTGAAAAAATTTGGTGGAAGGTGGTGGCTGACTAGCATTAGAATCCAGGATGCACTATATCTTCCCCCGCCCCCTCCTTTGAGATTCGTCATCTATGTGGTTACTGGGTTCTAGCCTCAGTGGGGAGAACGCCAGCTAGTACATCCAGCTAGTTGATAAGTCCCAAAGAGGACAAAATGCGCACATCCTGGATTCCACTGCGAATCACCATCCACTATTCGAAGGCGTGAAATATGAAGATTAGCGGTGACCATGTTGTACATAAATTTGTGTATTGAAAAGCTGATGGCAGTCGTTCGGATATCATGCGAGTAAACTTCACAAATTCCAGTGCAGCATAAAAGTTTGTTTAACTGCTTACTCGTAAAAATACATATCTACACAAGAAACACTTCTCTTAAAAAGATCTACGAGTGGATTGATCATGAATACAGTAATCCATTGTGTAGGATTGAGTGGTCATTTACAGTACAACGAGTAGTCTTCAATGCTGTGATGGAAACGTCAGACCACAAAATGAGAAATGATTTCCACTAACTCAGTTGACTATCTTCTAATTTATGGCTGTCGTAGAAGATAGAGGATTAGATGTGTGATTGTGATGTTAATTACATAAATCAAACCAGTAAGTAGGTCGGTGTCAACTAGAGTTGATGATATTAAATGGTTGGAGGTAATGGGCAGGAAGCCTTTCTCGACCTAGTTTTCACGCTAGTTGGCACTTACCAGTCAGAGTTAGGCGTGCCTGCAACCACCTCGAAGGAACTCATGTACCCCCCCCCCTGAGATTCGAACACACGTCAACCAGTACCGCCTGCAGTCAGAGACGTTACATTGCTATTCGAACTCGTGGTTGACCTCTTGTAGGACTGTAGTGGATACTTTTAACTGGACACCAGTCACTAACTAGTGTAATGTGTCTAGTCAGTCAGTCCCAGGCTTCCTGCCGACTGCCTCCAACCATCTAATATCATCAAATCAATGTACACCGTGATGGCGAGCTACCTAGAATGGTTGGCACATGGCCAACCTGACTGATAGACTCCAGTCTGCACAAAAGAAAGGACTAGACAAACACACACCACACTAGTTACTAACTAGTGTCCATTCAAAGCCAATTAGATTTTTGGAACACAGGAATTTAGCTAGAATGATTACTGAATTCTCGATATTTTGGAGTGACTGGCACCAGCCACTGTCATCCTTCGGCGAGTATTTGTCTTCACTCCTCACCGAGTGGAGCCCACTGGTCACGACTTTTCACCAGAACTTCAGTCAACTACATCCTGCAGCCAGTCACTAGTGAGCATCAGAATTATTTTCATGATTTTCTTGATTTCCATGAGTCCTTGATTCATGTGTCGGTAGCTCTATGGTCTACAAGGTAGCCTGACTTGTAACCGGAAGGTGCCTTTGGATTCGAACCACTCTAGTGTGTGTGTAGTTTCGATGGGTTTGAATCTAGGACAAACAGTTGTCCAGTAATCATGCAGGAGTTTCCGGTTGTTCCTAGAGCGACGGCCGACATAACTCGCTCCACCACAAGCGCAGTTGAATTGGTATATACAATTAGAAGATGTGGCTAGTCTAGGTACTTCATCTTTCAGTCGAGGAATCACCATCAGTCGTGTAGTAAACATGACTTGTAGCTCACCAGTATTCAAAGTTCTTTGAACTGATTTTCTTAATTTCTTTGTAATTATTTCGCTAGATTTATCGCCCTTGAATTGCAATCGTATTGTTATGTTGATGCTATTGGACTGTAATCTATTGATATTATTGATACGATGTTATTTAAACAACATTAATGTTGTTGTTAATAACACTATAATGTATATATAACTGTAGAACCTGATGGTGAAATTATCGAAGAGAGTACTCTTTGTTGAGTATCCATTCTTTTGAAAATGCTATTAGTGGTCATATTTTAATAGATTTAAACAAACTGAATAAGTGAAATTTTATCCAATATATTGATGGAGGTTTTCGATAGCCCAAGTTTTAAGCAGGCCGCCAATAGAGCTGACTTTGCCCCCAAACAGCTGATTGATTATACGGCGCAGAACTTTGGATTGAAATAACCATTAACAGAAAAGTGATAATTAATGGACCAGAAATACTAAAGATTCTCAAAGCCTTCAGTCACAGAACAGACATTAGTAGAATCCCCAGAATACACCTAAATAAATGAGTATGTTCTAGAACTTTTCAAGAACTTAACTAAACCAGCTACAAAAACAGAAACTCTTTCTCTTCGACTCCAGTTTCATTTTTCCAGAGATGGTATTCATCAGCATTCAGACAGTCAAGCTTCTTTGTTAGCTTTCAAATCATGACTGATACATGCACCAACATGGTAACCTGATTGGTCTTTTTTTTGATTCTGGAACACCTGATCGACTTCTGTCACTCTGTCAACCCTGACCATGCTTTTAATATCATAATATACAGAATCCATGCTAACTTCCCGCGTTTTCTTCGTTACAGGGGACTTCTAAAGACAGCTTAGGCCTTGGCAATTCATGACTTTAAGCCAGTCACACCTTTGTGTACAAAATAAGTATGTACAATCCCTACTTCTGCCTTGGCCGTAGACGGATAGACATTTATTTATTTTGTTTATTTAGTTATTCTACGTACCTTTCCCTTATTACTAGGATTATTATTATTATTATTATTACTATTCTCACTCTGAATCTTTTCCACTTGACCCGCTTGTCATTCTAAACCCAAAATTAATAATTTTTATATTTTTTATTTTTACAGTATTGAATTCTATCTTATCAAATCTCATACCATGTTATGTAACCTCTTATATTCGCCTACTAATCCTATAATTATGTACCCCTTTCCAAAATCTATACACCTTATGTATCATTCTATATATGACATTGATTATTTTGCTACTTGACGTTTAACTATGATTATAATTTTCAAGTATTGGTTTTGCAGTGATTTTGTTTGATTGCATGGTTGCAGGTTGAAGATGAGGCAGTGATTGAACCTGAAACAAAATGTAATTCCCCCCCCCCCCCGCAAATAAACTCATGAAAATCAATATTAGAATAACTAGCTGCACAGAGTTCATACACAGGAGAGATGATCTGTGCAAATGTTATTTGATACTTACTTACTTACTTTCAGAGACATTGACTCATATTTGATTAGATAGGCAATACAAAACACTACAGAACGACTGATCATACGTCGAGAGAAAATTAGAACCCGTTGGCCTTTCAATCGTTTCTCCTCTGAAATAATAGAAACAGATGTTTCTTTTATTGTGTTTCGAATTGAACAATTTAAATTTAATTTAAAAAATAAGTCTAGTTTATCTGTCTACAATCGTGTAGAGCTGGAAATGTCTGATGTGTAGCAGCAATAGGTCTAACCGATTTCACTGTCTCTTTGGTTATAGAAAATCAAAACAAATGATTCAGCGAAGAGACTCTTTTCAACGAATTTATCATCAAGCTGTACAATCATATATACACATATGCTTTCTAAGAAGTTATATCCGGTGAGGGAATTGAAACATAGGTGTGAATACCCGACTCATCTGCATTTCTGAAGCTTTGGCTATCGAAACAGAAAAGCCAGATCTCTGTGTACAGAAAAAGTTCGTTCAACCCCTCTAATTTTAATGGTCTTAATCCCTCTATGCTAAAGTATGGTAATCCCCAATCATACTTTAGCCCTACCAACTCTCCATTTTTTCATTTTTGTCTATTCAATTTGTATACTCTTCCTTATTAAGTCAATTGTTACTACTACTACTCTCACTTTTAATTGTCCCCGGTATTATTTCACTTGTTCCACTTGTCATTCTAAATCAATTCCTTTATGCAACATTAAATTCTATGCTATTAAATTTCACAAAATATTACGTAACATTTTTATTTTATTCGATTTGTCTACTTATCTTATAATTGCACACCTTTTTCAAGTTCTATCCATCCCATGAATTATTCTATATATGACATTAATTTGCTTTGCCACTTGACATTTAACTGCGATTATAATCACAAACATTTTAGTTTTAATTGCATTTCATATTATTATTATTTCATCCATTCACACCTATGTTTCAATTCCCTCACCGGATATAACTTCTTAAAAACCATATATGTACGATTGTACAGCTTGATGATAAATTCGTTGAAAAGAGTCTCTTCGCTGAATCATTTGTTTTGATTTTCTTTGGTTATAAGCTAACGTTTAGTGTCAGACAAACCGACAAATTCAGTGATGCACAAGACCAACCAAGAATTGACGAGAAGAGCGAGTAAATCCGGTCTTGGACTTCGGGTGAGATTTTTAACCTTTACCACAACCATTCATGATTCACTTCATGGCAGCAAAACGTGTATCATGAATCAACAGCTATTGATTTTCTGTAACTATTCGTGTCTTTTACGCTGTCAAACTCTTAAATCAGCTTCTGGAAGACTTTGTCCAACGATTTCTCCTAGCTAGTTATACATGAACGGTCATGGGTGGCTACCTCTCAACCTCTCAACAGCGACTTGAGTATGGATCCGAAGGTAACATGGAGGACACTGTGTAAAAATGAAATGAAAGCTTACGGGCAATTGTGCAGCCAACTAAATAAGACTTCAGATAACAAATTATAATGGAGATATGTCGCTGAAGCCCCATTTTTCACTCGGAACTCAAGGGGCCAAAGTTAAACTTTAAGCACCGTTAATTACCAATCACTGAATGACCTCGAACGCACCGATCATGTGAAGGAGGCATTTTTGTGTATCGAATGCATATATTCATGAAAAACTGCATAAAAACTGTACAAAAGTGTTATAGGGGATACCTTCCTCTCATATGAGATAGAAATAGCTCTCAGTTTCAGTTTGCAGTATCAACAGAGTATAATTCCATTGTGGGTGAAATTTATTTGGATAAAGTTTCATGGTGTTATGCAGTAATATTTACTGAGCAATAAATTTGTGCTCGAAACGTCATCAGTAAATATTACTCTATAACAGTGAGACTTTATCAAAATAAATTTTACCCAAAATGGAATTATATTCTGCCACAGTGCACAAGTTCTATTCTTATATCAACAGAGTAATTTAACTACATTCTATGCACGTAATTATTTAGGTCTTCTAACAATAACAATAACCCCAATCTTTCCTGAACCCTAAGGTGAAAATATCCCTAGACTAACTGTAATCTAACTTGAACCAACCTTAATGTTGCCTATATCAGGTTAACCTAACCCTGATTTGTCCTTGGCTTAAGGCGTAACTTAATCTTTCTCAAAAACCTAAGCTGAAACTTGCCAGATATCCTATTTAATAGCCTAACACTTCGATGAGCATATTTTATTGATGATGACAACATTATTTGCCTGACTTCACTAGCTTGCTCAGTGAGCGTTTCAAGGTCACTGGTGAGATCGCACTCCATTGATAGTTAGTGATGCTTAAAGTTTAACTTGGCCCTCAAGGGAATAATAACAATAATACTTGTTCATACTTTAAAATCCAGCCTGTGGTCGTTGTAAAGTCAGAGACTTTCACTGGTAATGTTGTGATTTTCTAGACTAACCAGTTAAATGACTTGTTAATCCAAATCTCGAATAGGTGAAATTATAATTTGATGTTTTGTGCACTTTAACCTGACTATGGCGGGACTACATTGGTGGTACAGCGGTAGAATACTGACCAACCACGCATGTGATCTGGGGTTTGATCCCCGGCCACCGACTCACTCCTACATCTCGCTAAAGTGATAGTAAGATCGATAAAGAAGGAAGGTTGGGCGTAAGGTTGTGGTGAGAGCTGTCTACTAGCCAAATTGGTAGAAAGTAATTTACGTCAATGTTTACGTTCTCAAGATTTGTCGTGAGAAAATATGCACAAAGATCGATTCGAAACCGACCAAATTAGACTTTGCGTAGACGGATACAGTTAACATATAGATGATCTGACATTCAAGAAACAGTCACAAAGAGATGAAAGATTAACTTTAAGTGAGAAAGAACCAATCAGAAGACTGTGTTTCTTTGCTTGACTAATCTATAATAATGTACATGAAAATATATAAATATGCGTTGATTTCCTTAATAAACGATCTGTTGCCTGACTCTTGCCTTCTGTCGTTACAACCTTACAGCAGTTTAACTGCTGATTAAGCTAAAAAAACTACCGGTAAATATGGAGTCAGCGGATGCATTTAGCTAGATAGGATCTAGTTACCCCTAAAATATCTCCTATGAGTCACACAAACTGAGTGACTATTTATCCTTGCCATCCAGTCAATGGGTCTCAGTTAGCTGGAGGGTGGTTCAAGCCTATGTCTGATTGTTTACGCCAACGACCCACAATATACACCGGCTAGGAACAAGAGATTCACTTCAAAGGTGAGTATCATTCTATGTCTACTGATTACTCCGGTTCACTACTTCCCTATCTGAGTATCTGATAATAATGACTTATAAATACATGCAAATAAAACGATATTAATCTCTGGGACAGACAGAAAAAGAAAATAGAAGAAATAAATTTACGAATAAAATTGCAAGCATCATCAAGAAATGGTAGTAAGTTGCAATTATGGTCATTAAATGTTTGCGCATTGAACACAGCATCTTTACATTCTTCAAATCTGGGAGAAAAATTAGAAGAAAAAAAAAGAAAATATTAAATGTTTGTCATTCTCTAGCCGACGAATGATTGATGCGCAAAAGAAGGATAAGGATAGATAGTTTTGACACATCTATGTGCATTTATCGATTCAACTGCACCTGTGGTGACAGTTATTGTGGGGAATACTACTAGATAACTTAACCTACGTGTCACTACTGAACATTTCCCAGTGTGGTGGTTTGGTAAAGGACAGACAAAAACAATCCGTAGCTCCATTTTGTCACATTTAGTTGACAGTGGTCATGTAGTGGAGAAAAAAAGAGCTTTCAAGGTAATTCATTGTATCCCACCGAATCTTTCCAATAGATTTCGTATTCGTCTACTGCACATAGCTGATGCAGGCGATAGGCATTTGAACTACTAAGCCTAAACTATGCATTCAAAAGAAGTTCGTACAGCCATTATCCTTTTCTTGTTGGCCTATTAAGACATAACCAGCTGATGACTTCTCCACCACCCCTTATTTATATCATATTTTCAGTCCTTCTTTTATCATCCTTTAATCTTATCACATCTTCATTAAAAACGTGTTTCATTTACCTCCCTCACAATCTAGCGCTACGTAATCAGCTCATTTGTTTTTCTTAGCCTTTATCGACTACTACTTCTACCTGAGCATCTGTTTGTTTAATCATGCTGTTTTTCATTATTCGTGTTATCACAGATTACCTCACTTTTTCATACTTATTATTGACAGTACCATTATTATTATGACTAATTGCACAATTCATATGCACAATCTTATTATCCTATTGACAAAACACCATGATTGGTTTATATTTGGATTTTCTACAGTTAGTTTGTAAGGATTAGTCTTGTTTTTACGAGTTGTTCACGGATGGATATCAGTTAGAGAACCATTGAAAAGCAGCCCATAGGGAGTACTGGACAGCCAGCTGTTTCATCCTAGTTTGGGAATCATCGACAGTACGCACTCACCGCCAGGCCACTCCAGACTTTCATCAACAGCTACCTTTACTGGCTGCATACTGAAGATCAAATGGCCAGACAGCCAGCCAGCCGGCTACAAAGAATTAGCATCAAGAAACTGTAGCTGGAAACAAACCAACAGGCGACAATCGATTGCTCAACAACTATGTAGGAAGAAATGGAGATGGATTGATCGGGCATGCATTTAAGAAACTGTCGAATGACACTGCATGCAATGCAGGCCATCGCTCGAGTGGAATCCCGATGGGAAGTGACGAGTGGGTCATCCATTCGAGGGTGACGTGGGAGAGTAGGAGATGAGAGGCTATAGGAAATCCAGGGGCTAGCAAGCTGAAGAGGATAGCAACAAATAGAACAATATAGAGATTTCTTGTTGAAGCCCTGTGTTCTCCTCGGAACCCAAGGGAATAATAACAATAATTGATTCAATAGAACTAAAAACATGAAAGGCAAATCATGTTCTGATCAAATTGCGACTCTACGCATCGTCATAACAGGAAAAAGCATAGAATGGCAGTCAAACCTCTCTCTAACTCAACTTCATTGACTTCGAAAAGGCCTTCGACAGGTAGCGTTGACCGAGAAGTAATTTGAAAACTACTTAACACTACGGCGTGCAGTGTGCAAGTCTTTGTCAACCACATTTTAACAGCTATATGATAATGCCACGTGTCGAGTGGTCCACAACGGGAAATTCAGCGACGCATTCGAAGTGCATGCAGGAGTAAGACAAGCTGGCTGGCTATTATCACCGATGATTTTCTCAACTGTGGTCGACTGGATTATACGTCAGACTGTGCGCTGGGAGTGAGAAGAAAAGAATGCGTTGGACTGACTGACAGGATGACTCTAGAAGATCTGGATCCCGCATGTGGAGGGTATACGTCTAATGTTACACAAACTCGAAGACTTGCAGGCGAAAACCAACAAACTGGCTGATGAAGGTGGCAGGCAGCGAAGACAGGAATGCAGGTGAACACAGAGAAGTCGGAGGTGATGAAGATAACCAATCAACAGCAAAAACAATCAGCGCAAATTACCATTAACGGAAAAGATTTAACAGAGGTTGCTTCCTTCACTTAACTAGGAAGCATCGGACGAAGATGTCCAATCCAGTCAGAATCGGAAAGGCAAGATACGCCTTCATCAACCTGAAACCAGTTTGGAAATCTTCCTCACTCAGCATAAAGGACAAGATTCACGTTTTCAGCACCAATGTGAAGTTGGTTCTTCTATACGGGTCAGAAATTTTCCCTGCGTGTGAGTCACGGAAAGGATTTCCAACAGGCCACTCCAGAGTTTTATCAACAGCTGACACATTCGCTGGTTCCATACTGAAGATCAAATGGCCGGCCAGAAAGAATAAGCAGCAAGAAACTATGGGAACAAACCAACAAGTGAGAGCCAGTCGCTCAACAAATATGTAGGAGAAAGTGGAGATGGATCAGCTATGTATTGAGGAAGCCGGCGAATGACATCGCACGCCAGGCCCTCCAGTGGAATCCAAGTGGGAAGCGATGAGTGGGTTGTCAGAGTGAGGGTGACATGGACGAGATCGTGTGAGGAAGAGGTGAGAGAGTTTGGTCAGTCGTGGACCCAGCTGAAGAGGATGGCAGAAAACAGAACAAAGTGTAGATGTGTTGTTGAAGCCCTATGTCCCAGGGGAATAATAATAATTATAATTTAAAAACATCAATAATGTTGTTAAAAACAATATTTCTATAATTATTTCTGTCATAGAGATGTAGAACCTGATGATGAATTTATCGAAGGGAATATTCTTTTTTCATTAGCCAGTCTTTAAAATTTTTTTAAAGTCCATCTTCAAATCATGCATGTACAGGCCTTACTTAGCACAAATAATCAATGTTGCTATGGGATATTTTAGATATTATAGAACACTTAGTGATAGGCGTACTTTTTTCTTCATATAAACAAGTAAAGTATAAACTTACAATGGATCTTTATCCATATCACAATTGATATGCGCTTTAATCTCCATTTGTCTATGGATTTTACGATCATTAGCATGTCTGTGTAATCCAATATATAGAACATTAGGAATCACTTCCAAAGGATAAGTAGACAGGGATTCAAGTTCCTGGAATACACAAAACCGTACAAAATATGTTGAAATTGAAATGGAAAAACTTGAAAAATCATCAGCCATAGGTCTACATGCTATAGAATCCGGTCACAAAGTTGATTTTGACAATATTGAAATAATCCAGAAAAACTTCAGAAATCACAAAGAACGTTTAATACCATCAGAAGCACTTCATATCAAGTGGAATCCAAATTGCCTCAATTGGAATGATGGACTAAAACAGAATCTGACCTGGTTACAACACCTCCCTCCCCATGAAGTGACAAAATCAACATGAATGTGATATGCAAGTTCACTATGTAAATATACACTACCTTTATGGTTTTACATACTGATCAAATCCAACAATCTACACTTGATTTTGTTATCTTTACCAAATGACCAACCTGACAACGAAAAATGACCCCAGACTAATGAACGATGATCAAGTTATCAAACTTTGTTTTGATACCATAACAGATGTACCATTACCTTTGTTATTTGGTTTAGTTATCTTCATTGGTATTTTAACTTTCACTATGTCCCTTTAACTTGACCTAAGTCTATTTTCTCACCCCTTAACTCTTTGTTATATATATGCTGAGATTTTGTAAATTCTGGTTTAAAATTACTACTTTGATAAAGCTACTGACACTCAATAGCGAAACGTCAGTAAAAACAGTATCGTTTTGTTTTTCATTCATTGTGAAATACAAAAACCTTTATTATAAGGGAGTTCACTTTGTGCGTCGGTGGCACAGCGGTTCGGACTCTCGCCGACCATGCACATGGTCCGGGGTTCGATCCCCTGCCGGCGCACACCCGCTATCTATGGTCGGCCTGTAAAATTGGGCTACCGATATCACATGCTGAAAATTCCATACTTGTACCAAAAATACCGTGTGGAATCAAGCTATAATAATCAAATAATCAAATCAAATAAATTTTGAAAAAAATTGAACATTGGGTATGTGGTATCCATTATAATAAAGGTTTTTGGTATTTCCCATCCGATGAATGAAAAACAAAACGATATTGTTGTTTTACTGACGTTTCTCTATTTAATGCTGCTGCTAATAGCTTTATCCAAGTTGTGATACTAAACTAGAATTTACAAAATCTCGTCAGCTAATATATAACAATTTAATCATCGTTCCTTAGCATGGAGTCAATCTTGCTTTGTCAAGTTGGCCAATTGGTGTAGATAAGAAAACTAGGTGTGTAGATTGTTGGATTTGATAAGTGTGTAAAATTATAAGAGTAGCGTGTGTTTACATAATAAAATTGCTTATCACATTCGTGTTGATTTTGTCATTTCATGGGTGAACGGGGGTGTTGTAACCAGGTCAAATTCTGTTTTAGTCCATCATTCCTATTCATCAGACAATTTGAATTCCAGTGTTGGTTTGTAGGGATTTGCTTGATTGGTTACAGGATTTCATCATGAGCTGATAATGATTAGAGGACCATTGGAAAACCTGGGAGTACCGGACAGCTGTTTCGTCCTAGTTTGGGACTCTTCATCAGTACGCGCCCACCGGGATTCAAACCTACCAGCGTCTAGTTACAAGGCAAGCTCGTAGACCACTAAGCTCGCCGTAACATTTGTAAATAAGAGTGACAGTTCAAGTTTCCACAATCAATGTAACACATAAAAGTAAGCGAAAAGATGGGAATTCAAAAGATTTATGATGTGAGGAAATATAAGGAGGAAAAAAGCACAGTTACATGCAGAAGAGTGAGAATGTGATAGAAATAGGAGTATGTAAAACAATTTGGCGTTATATCATCAGTAGAATTTATCTCTTGGTTCTTAGAATCTTGAGGACACCGACTAGGCAGTCTACATCTACCCATGTGGTGCAAATGGAAAGTTAAGGACTTCACAGATTCACGCCAATTCTTCATTTGTCCAAGACACCTCATCTCCATACCAGTCCTACATTACGTAATATTGCTCAGTGAGGAAAGCAGGAGCTCAAAATGAGTAACACACATGTCCTAGCTATCTAAATCTATTCAACTGTTGAAAATATCAACTCCACTTTTTTTAATTCAAACACCTTTTAAATGACATAACAGGCAGACATATTGATTTAAACACTAAGACAAACAAGAATACAGTTTGCTTCTGGTGTTCCTACCAAAGAAGGAGAATACACATAAATCTGGTCCACTGAGAATGAAAACTGAACAAAAACAGTGAAAGAGTATTATGAAATAGTTCAAGAAACGACTACCTACTGATAGTAAAAACATTAAGCTCACCCGAGAGTTGGGAAGAAAATTTTACAAGTACAACCATTCTTTTAGTTAACAAATCATCCTGTTTAATGTATGAATAAAGCAAGAGTTGCAGGATAGTCACATAAAAGCTGAAATTTACGGGTTTCGCACTCATCACATGAGCACTGTGCAATATCAAATCAATACTGTTCTGCAGTACCTGAAGGCACTCAAAACTCAATTTCATTGGTGTATATAAATATTAGTTCCATCCCGATCTCGAAACCACGCATTCTTTTTCCATGATGCTAGTGTTTACCGAGGTTTTTGATGTAAACTTCAACAATTCAAACTCTTCCATAATCCATTCCACTCTGCATTTCTCCCATTAACTCTGAGTGATATATTTTAAATTTCATTTAACCACACTGACTCCATGAACATGGTTTCTAAACTAGGTAATGATCACATTCATAAATTATAATTGCTTTTATTTGGAAATGGCTGTTTCACAATAAGAGAGAAGCAAAATTCAGTTATTTCTTAATGATAAACTTTCATTTGTTAACTTTGGTGAACATTGAAGGAGATTTCAAGTGACCTCACCTATTCAGAATAGTTTAATTTTCATTGCTGGTGAAAATCTCTGCTTAGTCCTTAATGTTTACTGTTTTACATAGGACCAAAGAAACAGGATTGAAAACCAATTTCCAACGTCATAATACACCTGATATGTAATTAACTTCAACACATTGCTCCGTTGCTGGTTGAACAACAGATTATCAACCTCCTGTCTATGTCGAATTATCCGTCACACAGAAGTTCATTTCGTTTGCTGATGACATCAAGATATGGAGGGCTTTACACGATGACAGTGATCAACTTGCTTTGCAGGAGGGTTTAAACTTGTTAAGTGATTGGTGCAAGCACTGGGCCTCGGAGATTAACTTAAGCAAGAGTGTAGTTATGCATGTATCTCACAGTCACGTGCACAGTTACTCAATGAATGGCATTACTCTCCCAGTGGTCACTGAGTACAAAGACTTGGGAGTGGTTGTGCGGCATGACTTGAAAACAGCAACAAACTGTAGAGCTGCAGCCACTAAGAGTTTTCGAATATTATGGGCCATACGCAAGGCTTTTTCGAGCTTTGACGCTGATATATTTCGTATGTTATATCCGACTTATATCAGACCTCATTTGGAATATGGGATCCAGGTAGCGAGCCCGTGTTTCAAATACGAAATAGACTTATTAGAAAGGGTGCAAAGAGTAGGAACTAAGCTAATAAAGGGTTTCTCAACCCTCTCATATGAGGAGAGGTTAAGTCGACTGGGTTTATTTCCACTGTCATACAGACGACTTGGGGATGACCTAATACTAGCATACCGTATCCTAAGAAATGATTTTGGAGCTAATTTATCTAATTTATTTCTTCCTCCTAGCACCAACCAATTGCGAGAACATCACCTCAAGGTTCAAAAACCACGGTCGAATCGTCTGCGTTTGGAGATCTGTTTTTCGCATCGAATTGTGAACCATTGGAACTCCCTACCGGAACACGTCGTATCAGAGCCATCCGTTGATTCATTCAAGGAGAGATTGGACCTCCTGTGTGCAACAAATCAAAATGATTAACACAGGCATATAGCCTACTATCCTAAATAAATTGTAAACTGTTATTTAGTACCAAAATAGAGTGTTCTGAGTACTGGATAGCTTTATATTCTGACAACAGCCATAATTTTCCATCACTTTACTGACACTTACTCATTCACACAATTAACACATTTTCCATTCAATAAATAATACGATTATATTTTAGATAAAGCTATTTACTTGTATGCTACACTAAAGTAGCCAATCATTATTTATTCAAATTGTTCACAAGCTCTATTCTGAGAGAATATAAAATGAACATTCCTAGTTTCATAGACTTTAGAGGCTGAAAGTTGTTGACGTTCACGGATAGTAAGAAGTATACTAACGCAAGATCTAATACCCACAACTTCTATAGTATTCGTTCCACGTAGACTAAAGGCAAAGCGAAACACTAGAATTGATCGTCCAAATTACCAGTTATATCTCGGGACCAAATCGGAGTGCAACATGATTGCTTAACTAGCTAAGGATCGTGCACGAACAAACTAACGTGACACGATGGCGTATCGAATGGCGTGGATGCTTGACCGAATGCCTTCAGCTAAACAAGTTGACTTAAACAGTGAGGGTCAGCATCATACGTTCAGTGATGAATGCTGTGGCCAATAATTATGGCGGATTACCTACCGCTACAGGACCACAGTTAAGTTAGTGAAGAAGAAATAAAACTAACTAAAGTGCTGTGATGTTTAATCAAAAAAGGGTATGGAAACTGTCTATAAATCTGACGACTAGTATCTAAATGTGAAATTAAGGTGGATTTTTATAGTTTTGGTAGTGCTGACGATTAGTTACACTTCACCAGTCCTTACTCTACCTGACCCTTAAGCACTGACGACAAAATGCAAATTAGGAAGACTTGGTTATTTGGGAAAAAGTTCTCAAGTGAGCCGTATATCTGAGACTAGAATAAAAGGTAAAGATTATTCAAGAGTAAGCCTTAGAACTTATCATTAAAAACTCAAGGAATGTGAGTATAGAGAGAACAATGAAGTAGCACAAAATGGCGTTACAGATAGTTTGTGTGAGTACAAATTAAAATAAAGTCTTTAACACTGGAATGTGCACCAAAAGACTCATCGTTGAGCTCGAGAAATGAGAGTCAAAAAAGCACAAAACATCCCAACCAAACTTTAGCAATTGAACTGGTAAAGAGAATTATCAGAAATTCCACTCGTTATTTGTTAGAAAACCTCTGGTTCCGCTGAGATTTGCAACACAGATAGATTTGGAACTGATTTATCTCATCATAATCTATGTCAGAGGATGTTCTAATGATCACCTGAATTGTTACGCCTCGTCAGTGATGGAATGCAGCTACGCGCTTACAAGTAGTGTAATTTTAAGCCATTGGAGTACCGACAGTTTTATTCCCAAGGGGGAATTATAAAAGATAGGACAAATCTACGTGTGTATGCTATCGGTACAGATCAGGCATTTTAAGTTCTAAATAATCTATGGATAATGCATTTTGTGCGGTTTCAGTTAACTAGTTCCAGTGTCACGTAGCAGTGATAAAAGATGCCGAATACCTTTACATTTTGAGCTTCAATACTCGCATAACAGTTATGAATATCTCCTTTGCGACACCAATAACTTGTAATTTTTTCACCGTTTTCTTGAATTTCCAAATTGTATGAATATTTCGAATATGGCTTTTTTTATAATATAGATAGATAAAAATATTTTCACTAACACATCAGTGTAATCGACTACAGTTTTGAGTTGAAAATATATAAAAAGACACGTGTGAAAATGCCGGAAAGAAACAGTAGTTGAGGTTCACATGAAAATATTTAGTTGTCTTAGTTAGATGATCCTGATGCAAAAATATAAAGGAATGCAGCTTGGTTGTTCTGTTGAGTACTAAAAAATGTATTCTAGAGTAAATATCCAGAGTGATAAAAATGTTGAGGGGACTGGAAAACCATTGAAAACAGTTTAGAAATAGGGAAAGAAAGATGTACCGTACTTGTGGGAGATAAAGTATTTTTTCGCTCGTCATATATGGATAAAGACGCGTGAATAATTCGAATCCTCCTGAATACAAAACAAGCATTTAGTAGAGTAAGTAAAATGACAAACCTTCGAGGACTTTCACCACACCCCGACTTCCGTTATCGTACAGAAATTCTGCAGCCTTGACAGCATCACCTTAAAGTTTCAGTTTTATATTTTTGTATGAATACTGACAAACTTTTGCATTCCAGGGAAGATGTGTTCCCATCATATACCACTATATTCCATTTACAATCAAGCTCTATATCGTATGAAAGCCTAAAGTTGTTGTCTGGTGTCTATTAAAGTAGTTTAAAATTGCTTTTTAATACTCTTTTAAGTCTTTTGGCTGTAACTATGTGAGCCTTATCATAGTCTTCTGAAATTCGAGAATCTTCCGTAAGTTCGGTAAAACATACATGTGTAATTACCGAAAAGAACGTTATAACATGGATCACTCACAAAAGCTTGAATCAGATGCTGGTTTAAGATGTTGTATAGTTCGGTTGGCTTTATAAGCTCATATTTCACCATTTTCAATCTGTTGCGTCTAAAAAGTCATGACCACCAAGGTCAGGTGCAGTCCAATATCCAATATCCTGATTACGAGCTAGTATAAACCAGTGATTTCTTTTAGCTCGCTTCTTGATTGTAAGGTAGAGGTTCCATATCTTTGGTGAACTTCTGCATAGTAAGTCCCGCCACTCGACTGCTTTAGTTCTGGTAGACTCGAAGAGGAGTGGTGCGGGGATTAGTCAAAATGTGGTTGGTAGTATGCAGTATGCTAGGACTGTGTTGCTGCCGTGAATGGAGTTTGACCTAACTCCCGTTGGTCACTCGGTGAAGTCATAAAAGCAGAATAGTAATAATAATAGGTTGTAGTGTAGATAATATAGGTTGAGATAAGTGAAATAATAAAGGTGACCTAAGGAAGAGATAGAGTAGTCGGTACAGTGAGAGAAGACAGAACGGGTCGTGGGGATTTAGTTTGTATGCTTATCCATTGACAGTGTGGTTTTAAATTTTAAGAGGATAAGTTATTAAGACACAAACCTTGCATTTCTGCATGATTGTCCAGCTTCCGCTTATAAGTCTCCAAAGATGGCGCTGTAGTCATGGCCGCCGGCAAAGCATTCCAGAGGCGGCAAACTCGAAGCGAAAAGAAATGTGAATGCACTCGAGTCTTTGGTCTCTGGTGTGCTATCCATAGCGGGTTACCTCGTGGCAGCCTATAATCACTTAATGGCAGGATGCTTTTATTAGGGTGGGCCTGGGCACAGTGGTTAGGACTCTCGCCGACCATGCACATGGTCCGGGGTTCGATTCCCTGCCGGCGCACGCCCGATATCCATGGTCGGCCTGAATTTGGGCTACCGATATCCATGCTGAAAGTTCCATACTTGTACTGAAAATGCGGTGTGGAATCAAGCTGTAAATCAAAATTTTAAAAAAATTAAATTAAAAATCTTATAGGCGGTGATGAGGTCTCCCTTGTGACTACGGTAACTAAGTGTGAAAAGACTTAATTTCTTCTGTCTTTCCTCATATGGTTTGTTACGCAGGCCGATCACCCATTCTGTCGCTCGTTTCTGGACACTTTCTAGAATGTTAGCACTCCTTTTGAGTAGCGGAGGACCAATGATATTATGCACCTCAAGGAGTGGCCTCACGTATGTCGTATACAACCTTAAGAATAGTTCGGGAGTAAGAGCTCCCAGCTGCCTATGCAAAAGTGTAAAGTTGCTTAGTCCTTGGAGACGTCCCTCGTGTAATTTCCACTGGGGTCTAACTTTTCTGTGCGTTGGTGGCACGGCGGTTAGGACTCTCGCCGACCATGCACATGGTCCAGAGTTCGTGCCCCCGTCGACGCACACCTGATGTCTATGGTCGGCCTGCAAAATTTGGGCTACCGATGTCACGTGCTGAAAATTCCATTCTTTTACCAGAAATACGGTGTGGAATCAAGCTGTAATCAAAATAATTAAAAATAATAAAATAAGACCTAGATCGAGCTCTGATGGCACACAACTCAAGTTCTGTCCACCAAGGGTGTAATTTACACTCTGTGACCTGCCGGAATGAAGTTTCAATACTTTGCACTTCTTTAGGTTGAAAGGCATTCCGTTAGCCAGAGCCCAGTCTCGCAGAGATTGCAGGTCAGCCTGCAATCTGTCGGAGTCTTCCGATGAGTTTATTGCTCTCCAAATCTTTACGTCGTCAGCGTAAAGAAGCGCAGAGCAGTTCAGTTGAAGGGGCGGGTAGTTGATAAAAATCAAAAACATCAACGGCCCTAAGATAGAACCCTGAGGAACCCCTGATGCCAGGATGATCGGATGCGGCTGACTTTGGTGCAGAATTCTCTCTCACCTAAGTAATTTTTCAGCCATGCGAGAAGTGCTCCAGAAACACCCGTCTTGCTTATTTTGTGAAGGAGCAGACCATGGTGAACTGTGTCAAATGCTTTCGCAAAGTTGAGAAAGATCACATGGACTGGTACCTATACGTCCCAGGATGGTGTCCATTCGTTCCAAGCTAGTAGAAGATTCGTAACACAGGATCTTCCCCTCCTGAAACCGTGCTGTGCTTCATGGAGTAGGTTAGTCCCGTCTAAGTATTTTCTCATGTGGTCATCAATGAGACTTTCCAATATCTTCGATATCACTGGAAGTAGCGCAACTGGTCTGTAACTGGTCGCATTCTGCCGGTCACAACCCTTGAAGATAGGGGATAGGATGGCTCGTTTCCATTCACATGGAAGTTTCCCTACATCAATGGAGTGTTCAAACAGATCACTTAGGAGTTGGCAGAGACTTACTGAACACTGCTTCAGGACGTATGGTCTGATGTCATCACAACCTGAGGACTTTCCCGAAGTCACCTTTCCCAATTTTACAAGCATCATAGCCGGGATCATTTGAAATGTACCCAGCAGGTTTTCGCGCGTTGGTTTTGCATTGTAATCTTGATGTTTTGTGGGAGTAATATCCTTGCTACTGTTTAGTTGCCTGTGAAAGGCTAAACTGGATGTCTCTGCCATTTCAAGACTGGTAAGAGATTTCCCATCAGAACCCACTAGATTGCATGCTCCGTGGTTGGTCGGTTTTCTTCCAGACATAAACCTGTATAGGCTTTTTGGGTTCACGAGAAGCTTATTAGCGAGGTTTCCCTGAAATGTCTTTCTATCACTCCGGACTCGTATGTTACATCGATTCCTGAGTTCAAGGTACACTTCATGTTCGGGTTGACTCTTCGATAGTCGCCACGCAAACCAGGCTTTTCGCTTCGCCTGAGGAAGGCGTTGTGTCCCCCTTTTTAGCCATGAACTTTGATTCCTAGCTTTTGGTGTGACTAAAGGAACAGTGTCTGAGACCGCCTGGTGGATGATCTCCCCAGTGTTCTTCTTTCACATGGCACACTAAAATTTCAGTCAGTTTTAAACTCATGACGACAGCGATAAAAATCATCTTAGTGTTTGTACTTATATGTTTATATTCGTTGTACATTATGTTTTATTAGACAGACAGATTTATTTCCACTTAGTCTTCTTATGCAACTATGCGACTAGTTTATTTATCGTTTATACAGTAATAAGGGTATTTATGTGCGTTTATTAGGTACTATAGTAAACTAATAATTGATTCGTTCTAGGAATAAACAGTTTATTAATGTAATCAGTAGAGTGAAACAGTCTGTACAGAGAGCGTTTGAAACTTATAACCGTATTGCAGTTTCTGACTTCTAGGGGCAGGTTGTTCCATATTTTAGAATACATGACTGTGAAGAAGTTTTCGCGGAGTGTTGACTTAAAGGCTTTTATTGTCACTGTGCAAGTTTGGTTACGTAAATCATAAGAGCCTTCCTGTGCGAGTTGTATGTCCTTATTGTCTGAGAATGATATTTTGTGTAGGACCTTAAAGAAGGACACTAGGTTAATTATAAGTCGTCTTGTCCAGAGTGGGTCAAGTCTTAGAATTATGCACCGTGAGATGTAGTCCTTCGTACAATCGCGGCCAAGTAGTTTAGAGGTAAAATATCGTTAGATACTTTCCATCCTTAGCTTGTCACGTGTGAGTGCTGCTAATAATAAATGGACAGTATTCTAGTAGTGGCCTCACACAGGCTTTGTACAGAATTAGCTTGGCTTCATTGTCGTGAAAGTTCCTGAGTGTGCATCCTAAGAGCATCCTCGAATCTCGAGTCTGTGAAGCCACTTGCTCAGAAAATGTTAGGTTACTCGAGTACCTCAGACCTAGGTCAACGACACTTTGGAGGCTGGTTAGACAAGCCGATTGAAGCGTTAATTTCATGTCCATTGAGGGTGCGCCGAAGCAGATCCAACCACATTTGCTCAGGTTAAACTGTAGATTCCATAAAGGCGACCAAGCAGTCGCTTCATCTAACTCATCCTGCAGAACATTCTGGAAGTGCCCTAGGTCATTACACTGGAATGTATAAGCTACTTTCCGTTCATCTGCAAAGATGAATGGTTTCCCGTGATAGAAGCAAGTGCATATGTCGTTGATATATAGAGTGAATAGGAGGGGTCCAATGACACTACCTTATACTACACCTGATGTGATTGGGTTAGGTTTGGAAGGTACAGACCCGAGTTTAAATATTTGGGACCTGTTTTTTGTGAATGATAGAGCATCACCGCATTCTTTTCGGAAAGGAGATTAGTCTATGCATTATATATCATGTCCAAGTAACTTATATCTTTCCATGTGACGTTGTGGTAAGTTTCAACCTTGTTTTCTCATATTTCATTCGTATGTCGGTTATGGTTCACCCTTTGCTTCAGGTGGACTTTATTCGATCGACTCTTATTTGTATGGGTGTTACTGTCATGACTGTTGCTTTCTTGTCCAAAATTGTAAATAGAGGCAAAAGAAACAATAGGTGTAGTCTCTAAGTTCATACATTAAATGGGCCCATGATTTCTGAAGCTCTTATATGGTATCGCTTGCAAACTCACTCAGTGTGTCATTAAGTGCCTTTTTAAAGGAGGCCAGGGTTCTTGCTAGTCACATTTCCTTAGGTAGTTTGTTCCATATTTGAGCACACCTAATCAAGAAATACTTTTGCCTGGTGGCTGTTTTACATTGTTCTAAAGCCACTGTACCTTTAGTATGTCTAAGGTTATATTCAGTGTCTTCTGTAAACCAGGTGTACACTATGTGGTTAAGATTACATAAGAGTACCAGGTTTTGTTGCAGTCGTCTAAACCACAGTGTTTTGAGTCCTAGGGCCTCGCATCTGGTGGAGTAGTTCGTACCGTTTTCAGTTCTGAGTACTTTTAGCGTGAAGTACCTCTGCACTCCTACTACTTTTATTTTGTCTTCTACCGATATACTACCAAATATGAATGAGCAGTAATTCAGGAGTGGGCGCACACAAAGCTTGTACAGTAGTATTCTGGATTCACTTCTGTAGAAGTTCCTGAGTAAGAAACCAATAAGCTTGTGTGATTTCGATACTTGTTTCGAGATATACTCAGAAAATGATAGATTATGTGAATATTTCAGTCGTAGTTCTAGTACAGATTTGA